AGCAGCAAATGCAATAAAACATTTCCCTCCATTATTTAAGTTGGGTGAAAATAATAGTAGCATATTATTATAGGAAGCCCATTGCCAAGAAAAAAAAAAAGGTATTTATTTCACAATTTGGACTTTGTTTCTTGGAATTCTGAAAAAATGATATAAACTGATTCGAAATTGTGAGATGTCAACTTGCAATTCTGAGAATAATCTCACCTTTTTTCTCACAATTCCAAGATAATACCTCACAATTCTGAATGTATTTATAAGAAATCTGACTTTACATCTCAATTCAGATTTTTTTTGTCCACCACAGAATAACATATAAAAAGTTAAATGTCGTTATCTCGTGATTCTTACTTTTTTTCTCACAGTTGTAAGTTTTATATATAACAATTTGAAGTTTATATGAATATATCCTAAAAAGTTACAGTTACCTTTTTTATTATTATTATTTTTTGGCAGAAATAAGCTTCCATACACTTTAAACCACTGATGATTTAATGTGTTCTGACACGTCTCACTCTGTGAAATAATAGATGCACTGACCATCATAAAGGCAGGGACAAACATTATTTATGTGGCTGGTTGGGAGCTGTCAGATGAAAGATAATGTTTTTAAGCGAGTACATCAGATGTCACAGCTGTGAAAAAACAGTTATCAGCTTTTACAGTGAAGGAACATTTCTGTGAGAACAGCTTCTTATCACTATTAATAATAGCAGGGTTGTCCTTGGGTATTCTTGAAAGAAGAGAGGACAGAGGATATCCCAAAGAAAACCTAACACCCTCACTCAATAACCTCTCTCTCTCGCTCTCGCTCTCTCACTCTCACACTCTCTCTCTCTCTCTCTCTCTCTCTCTCTCTCTCTCTCTCTCTCTCTTTGCCCCCTTCAGGTTATATTTAGTTCGGCTTTAGGGGTGTCGACCTCTTGCTCTGCAACAGACTCTGGCCTTACAAGGCCCAACCACAAGTATGGTTGCATAGCAACCCTTGATGTTTTCACCTATGCGAACGAGTCCACCAATGTGCTACAGTAGCAGCTAATCATCATAATCATCCTATAAGCATCAACAACATCAGCAGCAGACTGAGCATGTGCACCTCGTGTCTGGTGATGCTCCTGTTGCTAAATGTGCTATTATGCATTAATAATTTTATGAAAGGTTATTGTAGTTTTTAATCATTTTGTTTTTATTGATATTTTATTTTATTTTTTCTCGTTTTAATGTTCGTTTTGCCTTTTTAAATACATTTTTGTAATTATTAATTTTGTGTTTGTGTGTTCTAGTTTGGTTATTTATTTTATTGTAGTTGTAGTATTTTAGGGCTGCCAAAGTTTAATGTGCTAAGCTAACTACTATCATTTAAAGATATTTAACTGCTAATTTCTTAGCACAGTCTAGTTTTATTGCCAGTTGCATTGTCATGTTTAATGTATATAAAGTTCTAAAACTAAAATTAATTTGTGACCATTTTTATTTTACGTTTTGTAAATCATGAAAATGCATTTAGAGTACCTGTAGTTTTAGTTAAAATATATGTATTTTTAATTTAAAGTTTAAATTAATGATAACACTTATTTTACATGTTTTGCCTGACAGGTCTGTTTTAACACAAATCCTAAAAATACAAGTTAAACAAACATAAAACTAAATTGGGCAAAGAATAGTGGGTAGATTAATCTATTACATTTATTTGCATTGCATTTTAAATAATGATGATCAGATTAGTCAGTTATGCTTTCATTATATACTTTGACAAAAATCTTCCATAGCATTATAAATAGCAGCGTTGGGGAGTAACTTGTTACATGTAACAGCATTATGTGATTTAATAAAAAAATAAATCTAAGTTGGGGGGGGGTAGGGGTTATAAAACTGATATGTTGAAAAATATTAATTTGCTGCTTTGCCTGTTTTTGATGTGCATATTGCCTCCTGCCGTTTAAAGGCTATTTAGTAAAGTTATGCTATTCTGATGCTTTTGATTGGTTCTCTTGTTTGAATTTGCAGCACACCACTGCCATTGAAAGATTTGCTACAACCTGTCTGAGAGTTGCCACCATAGTGAGTGAGAAAAAAATGTGCTCCAGTGCTGCAAATTTAAAAATCATTTAATCCAGAAATCAGAAAAGGGGTGCAAGTATAACAGTTCAGTGCAAAATATGTTTTCCCATATTAAAGTGCCACTGACATCAAAGGTTTCAATGTTGAACCTGAGGAAGCATCTGCATGTATGTAACATAGCCTACAGTTAACTGTAAGCAGTCATTAAATAAAATAGGAAAGGCATTGCCTATTCCCACCTAATGAGTAGGCGATTCAAACCATATTTCTGTATTGCTTGGTGCATGTCCAGTCATTTATTTAACGATGTTAATCTCCATTCATAACAAATTAGCAAGTCTGCTAGCTAGATAAAGAAGTCTTTACCAGCCACACTTCTGTTTATGAACCCTTTGACTGAAAATATATAGCTAGAGTTTTTCCTCCTTGAATAAGGTTGGTAACCATGCCAGATTCAATATTACAGTTATTTCAGCATTGTAGCATAACCTATATGAATGGCTTATGGGGTCATTGAGTTGTGAAATTCAGGGCACCAAAGCAATTTTGAGTACCACTGTAAGGTTAACCATGCCTAGTTTAAATGTTTGAAAATGATTAACAGTTGAAAACATTTGAAAAGTAATCAAATGTAATCAATTACATTACTTTAATAAAGCAATTGAACTAGTTACACTAATACATTTTAAATAGGTTAACTTGTAATCTGTAACCTATTACATTTCCAAAGTAACCTTCCCAACACTGATAAATATTAATGGTAAAATGTAAGTTTGTACACATTTTGCATATGTGCAAGAATGAGGACCAAATCTGAGCATACCGAAACATGACAGAAAGACAAAAGTCTCAGAAGCAGCTGTCACAGGCTTGTATTTACAGTGACATTGTTGATTGGTTGTAAGTCTGGAACTCACACACTCACTGACATAATTCAGTCCTAAACACAGTGCATCTTCTAGAACTTAATAAAGACATTTATGCATATTTTCAGTTGCCATTTTTATCTGCTAAAAGGAAACAATTAAACCTTGTGGTCAATTACAAGCCTGTTTACAACAATTTCTTTTACAAATATTCTAGCATATGTATATATCCAGTTGGTTTATGAGCGTAAGCATCTATATATGATTGTATTATGTGTAAACAGCACTGGGCAGGATCAACTTAGAGGTAAACAGTGTACATTCTGCATGGGTGTTTGAGTATAGAAATACATTCAGGCATCTATCTGTCTAATAATAACTTAGAAGGTGCAGTTGTCCACTATAGAGTTACAATATTTGTTCCCATACAATTAGGATGAGATTTAGTGTTACTATGGAACAAACAAACAGCTGAATGTACTGTATATGTGTGGGGATCATGGAGAGGATGATTTTAAAAGCATGTCATGTGTCCATGCTATATATGTATGCGGATCCTCTTTACTGTCCCGCTCATGTTTTGATGAGGGTTTTTATTGTTCTACCATTCTTGAGGTTGTATTTTCTGTGGTGGGGCATGTTTTGATTGGCATGCTTCAGTCCAAAAGAGTCGTCCTTGTCATGCCAGGGACTCTGCTTTAACTTAATAGGGGAAGGGCCTGAAGGGCCTGAAGGGCCTGAAATGTTGTACTTCACACATGGTGGCCTCACACTCTTCCTGAAATGCTCACATTCATGCACATGTGGCTTATTGGCTCCCGTCACAGCAGAGACACGCCTGATGCCAACATAATAGCCCTAATCGGCGTCTTAAATCAGTGCTCATTATAACTCATCAGCAGCTGTTACAATGACGGCCGAATGTGTTACTGATGACTAAACTAATGGCTTCAGTTCAATTAAAGGAATGTTCTGGGTACAGTAAAAGTTAAGCTCAATCAAAAACGCCGTGCCACAATATTTCCACGTCTCTCCTTTTCTCTAAATAAGACTGTGGGTTACATAAATGTTCAAATACTCAATGTTTCAATTGTATCACTGCAAGATACAAACATGTATTGACCTCATTTTTTAATCAGCATTATGCCACAAATGCTGTTAAGTGAACTTGTTGAACCCAGAATATTCCTTAAACTGGCATTTATATATCGTTAGTCAAAGAGCAGTTTATTTAAAAAAGAGAGATAAATTTTAGTGTTTTCTTAGAACATTTATCCACTTGTAACTCGTATGCATAAACACTTGTATACATGTTTGCAGTCACATGTCTTGTCCATGGTCCATGTCTTGTTTTAATCTTGGGGATGTATTGAACGTCAAACTTCTTGTTACAGTGAAATAAGATATGAGCAGTAAAGTAAGGGTCATCTCATGTACTTTTGTGCGTCTTTGGAATGTGTTCTACAGTTTGACATTCAATATCCTTTTAGTAACTCCAGATGGTGTTGCTCTCCTAGATGAATTGCATAATTACACTATTGGTAATTAAATATCTTTTGTATATAAGGACTGTGTGTTCCATATGAAGAAGTAAGTTAATTAGTGTTGGAAGGGTGTTTGGATGAAGTATCATTTTCTAAAGTCGAGGAAGATTATGCCATAGTCTCTCTTTTTTTTTTTTTGCTGTACTCGTGCCAGGGTTCAACTAAAAAGCCTTCCAGCAGACATGAGGTCCAGGGATTTGCGGTTGTCTGTTTTAAAGTCAGGACATGCTGACCCCCGCTGCTTATGTCAGGAACCACAGCATAAATGTGTAGAAGGATTTTGGCCTAGTCATTAGAGAAGCTGCACCTTAAACTCAAAACTGATGTCTGCATATGTATATATTATAAATGTCTTTAAAGCCTGTAGGCATTTTGATATCAATTATTCTTATATCTATAATGTGACAAACCCCATAATATATGGCTACTGCCTGAGAGTTGATTGTAAATTCCACCTTTACTGTTATTTTATTTAAAGCGATCTTATGTAACTGAACTTTAAAAAAAAAAAAAGCGTACACCCACACAATTTAAAATATTAACAATTTTATTTACAGTTTCACCACAACATTCGTCAACATGTAACAGTAAAAAACATGTATAATTCATTAAAAATCACATCTTATAAAATTCCAAGCTTATTTTTAAGTCAAAACATATTGACTAAGTAATGTCAAGTTTAACAGTAGCAAAATGGAGTGAACTAATATAATGTGCAATTAGAGAAGAAAAAAGAGAAAAAAAGAAGATAGAGTCAAAGAGAAAAGAGTTTTATCAGTCCCTGGACCATTCCATTCCTGAGGTATTTTAATCCACCTCTTCAATAGTGGGCCCCTGAGCACCGGCCCCTGATGCTCCACGTGCCTGAGTTCCACAGCCTCCAGCTGGCATCCCTCCCTGATACAGTTTAGTGATGATTGGATTGCAGACTTTCTCCAGCTCCTTCAGCTGATGTTCATACTCCTCCTTATCAGCCAGCTGGTTGTTTTCTAGCCAGCTGACAGCCTCGTTACATTTCTCAATAACTTTCTTCTTGTCGTCCTCACTGATCTTTCCTTTCAGGTTCTCATCTTCCACACTGTTCTTCATGTTGAAGGCGTAAGACTCCAGAGAGTTTTTGGCAGCAATCTTCTCTCTTTGCAGATCATCTTCAGCTTGGTATTTGTCTGCTTCCTGCACCATCCTCTCAATCTCCTCTTTACTCAGTCTGCCCTTGTCATTGGTGATGGTGATCTTGTTCTCTTTTCCAGTGCTTTTGTCCACCGCAGACACATTTAGGATTCCATTGGCATCGATGTCAAAGGTCACTTCAATCTGCGGGACTCCACGTGGTGCAGGTGGGATTCCTGTCAGCTCAAATTTACCCAGCAGGTTGTTGTCTTTTGTCATGGCCCTCTCTCCCTCATACACCTTGATCAGGACACCAGGCTGGTGGTCTGAGTAGGTGCTGAAGGTCTGGGTCTGAACTCCTTTTGCAGACGACATGTTGTATTTCTTTGTATGTCTACCTGTATTCAACAAGCAAAATAAAAACAAAATCACTGCAATGTAAAATCAATAATTTTCACCATTTAAATTAGTTATTTTTTAAGTTAAACTTTAGATAATTGTTTTTATGTAAATATATTTTTTGCATGTTCACACTATATTAATTATTAATATTAATAAGAATAATAAAAAAATATTATTATAATTATTGTTGTTAATAATAATAATAATAATACACGAATATAGCCTAATAATACAAACTTAAATAGATTTCGAATTAGTGATTCATTAGGCGCCACTTCATCACATTTATATTGACACTTAATCGTGAAACAGATGCATATAAGAAAAACATAATTTACAGTAGGCTAAGCGTTTCAAGTTTGTGCCATAAGTATTGAAATTCCAATAGAAATATGAATGAATTAATGAATGATGCATTTATATAGCGCTTTACTGTGTATTGTTGTACACCCAAAGCGCTTTACAATCATGTGGGGGGGGGTCTCTCCTCAACCACCACCAGTGTAAATAAAATAAAATAAAATTTAAAATAAAAATAAAAAAAATAAAAACGAACAGTGGTAGTATTAATTCTTTTTCAACTTACCTTGTATGAATTCTGTCAGGCGTAACTGTGGCTCGTTGCTTGGATAGTTCACTTCGTTATATCTGTCTTTCCGCAGTAAGTCAGATCTCTCCTGAAGTACACAGCAACCCGATGGAATCAGCCGTGTTTTATACGGTCCAGGGTTGCGCTGCTGAAGTTTCTCGAAAGCGCCAGCGAATTCGACCAATCAAAATGCGGCACAGTAGAACGGCTCCACCCACACAGCTGCGTCATCGCATAGACAGACAGTTCTAGCTATTTCTGGAGTTTTCTGCGTTAGTTTGGGGCCACGTGAGATCATAACATTACAGTGAACCTCTTAATCTGTAATAGTGTTATTTTTAAACATGAACTTTTATCAACTGTTGATGTTACGGAAATGTATTTTAAAAGCAAATAAGCCTACAAACAGGTTAACATACCTAGGTTATTATGTTACTCATGTAGAAACATGTTTCAATTAAATTCGAATATCAAGGCAAAATTAAAGATCGTAGTGGTAGCCTAAATAAACAATTAACAAATGTTTGTTATTTTTCTGTAGGCTACGTAAATTAAAATCGTGGTTTTAATTAAATTTTGCAGATAATAAAACGAATGACTGAATCTTAGATTGAAACAAGTGTGTAATAAGAGGATCTTTGCCCAGTTAATGTAAAACTAATTGATTCCATTCAATTGATAATATAACTGAAGTATTTTGGTGGAATATGTGATTTCAGTACCTCAATTCTCTTATGTTGTATTTGTATGTTTTCCTTTTATTTCGTTTTCTTTTCAGTTGACAAGCCAGTGGGAATTAGTATGTGTTTGATTTGCAATAGCTGCAAATTTAAAGATGATTCGGATGATTCTGGAACATTGGAGACTTTGTTGCAGTCATTTTGCTCTATTGTCTACAGAGGGCTCTGTTACATTCATTATTTTACATTTTTCTCAAGACTATTTCTATCCCTTCTGATCTGCTCAGTAGTACATAAAACACCTATGTGTCATTATTATGAAATTACAAATGCACAATTTGTTTAAAGCTACTAAGTGAACTTGTGGGCTGTGAAATTAATCAATAGCCAAATGACATCAGGGGTTCAACCTTAACTTTACGAAGCTACGAGATTACTTTTTATATGCAAAGAAAACAAAAATAACAATTTATTCAACAATTAATCTCCTCCACGTCACCCTGGTGCCATTTTGGAGTCTCCACTGAACGTAATCAGCGTATGCTATTCTGTTGCAGCTGCGTCATACGGATACGTAGTTTTCGTTCAAATCAAAGCCTAAACAACGTAGAAAACGTATCCGTGTGACGCAGCTGACAAAGAACAGCATACGCTGTTTACGTTCAGTGGATACTCTCCAAAATGGCACCAGGGTGACGTGGAGGAGACGAATTGTTGAATAAAGTCCTTATTTTTGTTTTCTTTGCATACAAAAAGTATTCTCGTAGCTTCGTAAAATTACGGTTGAACCACTGATGTCACATAGATTATTTTACCGATCTCTTTGCTACCTTTCTGGACCTTGATCGTGGTAATTACATTGCTGTATATGGGAGGGTCAGAGAGCTCTCAGAATTCATCAAAAATATCTTAATTTGTGTTCCGAAGATGAACTGAGGTCTTACGAGTTTAGAACGACGTGAGGATGAGTAATTAATGACAGAATTTTCATTTTTGGGTGAACTAAACCCTTAAGGAGAAAATACTCAGCAATTGCGTTGATTAATGGATTGGAACATGGTTTGTCTAAAAGCATATTAAAAACACCACATAGGCAAATAAACAACATAAAAAATATTTTCAATACAGGGGGACTTCATTAGTGAAACTACCTACATTACCTTCATTAGCATCTACCTTTAACTAGGGAATTATTATTATTATTATTATTATTATTATGTCAATCTTGGACCTGTAAGCATACTGATATTCTTGATATCTACAATGCAACAAGCCCATAATATATGGATACTGCCTGGGTATAGTTTAAGCATGCCATTTACTGGTCTTTTCATATGAAGATATGACAAATTTATTTTCAAAATCTTATTTTAATGCACATACACATTATCGTTTATATTATCATTAAAAGTTCATATCGTAGATATAAAACGAAGCTCTTATATACATTTTAGCTAGCTTTTAAATAAATGTTGTAGAATAACTGCAAGTAATGCCTTCTAACGCAATATACGAATCAGACTTAACAGTTACAGATACATAAAAACATAAAACACTTTACCATATTTTGCCGTAATTTGTGCAAGAGGGCATTCAAATATGATAGAGAAAAGACATGTTTTTAAAGTTCATTGTATTTATCGTACTTTCACAGCAAAATTCTAGAATCGTCCATAAACTTCCTCTCAGCGGCTTCAGTGACAGCTGGCGTAACGCTGGCACGCGGCTGCTTGCTGTGTTTTGATTGGTCTGATTCACTGGACGCTTCCAGAAGTGTGTAGAGTTTGAACTGGTGCGCACTCTGGTGTATTTAAAGAGCGAAAGCAGCCACTAAAGACACTGAGCTCAGCTGAACAGGTGCGATCTGTAAAGAGAGCAAAAACAGTCTGACCTGACTTTCTCTACGAAGAGGTGTAAATTCATCACAGTTAATAATCTACTCTACAGTAAGTCTACCTTTATTTAACAGTAGGGAATAAGCTAAATATATTGTGTAATTGATATGTTGCATAGAATATGAGCTTATATGTAGGCTACATGTACTTATATGTAGGCAGTCTATAGTCTCCCTAAAATAAACTAGAAAATTGTATTCATTGGTCATTTTTCGCATAGAGAAAAAAGAGCAATGAACAGATTATGTTGTTGTCATTATCAGAGTACAATACATATAGCTATGTACTAGAAAAGGCTTTTCTTTTACTGTTATTGTGGGAAGTGTCATATTGACTGGAAACAAATAATTTTTTTTTCACAATAATTTGTAGCAATTTAGAAACATTTCTGATTCTGATTGTTTTTTTTTTCTGTTTACTAGCCTACAGATACGTCTAATCAAACATGTCGTCTGCAAAAGGAGTTGCTATTGGGATTGACCTGGGCACCACCTACTCCTGTGTGGGGGTGTTTCAGCATGGAAAAGTGGAGATCATCGCCAATGACCAGGGAAACAGAACAACACCCAGCTATGTTGCCTTCACAGACACTGAGAGGCTCATTGGAGATGCAGCTAAAAACCAGGTGGCCATGAACCCCGTATCAGGGAGGGATGCCAGCTGGAGGCTGTGGAAATCAGGCACGTGGAGCATCAGGGGCCGGTGCTCAGGTGCCCACTATTGAAGAGGTGGATTAAAGTTATGGACTTGTCACTTTGTCTTTCATATCTCACGTGACAATTTGATCAAGGATTTTTTATATGATATTGCTGTTTTTATATTCCTGTTTTGTTATTTAACCACAAGCCACTTTAATTTAGTCAACATGTATATACCGTAAAGATGTAAATACAAGCATGTTTGTCATTTATGGATAATGAACATTGTTAATAATTTTTTTTTTAAATAAAAACATATCAAATGTGTTCTCATTCAGAAGGACTGGTTACAGATTCCAAGAGAAATCATGTTGATGAAAACATAAAAGTAAGGTTATAATTTTGCAGAAATAATTTTTTGAGAATTATCTAGAGGGACTAGTCAATGCAATATACAGTAGTGTAGGTGAGAAGATATTTTCACTGATAAGTGTGACAACATCACGTGACACAATCAGTCAGATGCCACAGACGTCAACATTCACTGTACAAAACCCAACAACACTCTTAAAAATAAAGGTGCTTAATAAAAGGTTCTTCACAGCGATGCCATAGAAGAACCATTTTTGGTTCCACAAAGAACCATGGAGTCATGATGGCCCTCATCAAACGCAACACCACCATCCCCACCAAACAGACCCAGACCTTCAGCACCTACTCAGACAACCAGCCCGGTGTCCTGATCCAGGTCTATGAGGGAGAGAGGGCCATGACAAAAGACAACAACCTGCTGGGTAAATTTGAGCTGACAGGAATCCCACCTGCACCACGTGGAGTCCCGCAGATTGAAGTGACCTTTGACATCGATGCCAATGGAATCCTAAATGTGTCTGCGGTGGACAAAAGCACTGGAAAAGAGAACAAGATCACCATCACCAATGACAAGGGCAGACTGAGTAAAGAGGAGATTGAGAGGATGGTGCAGGAAGCAGACAAATACCAAGCTGAAGATGATCTGCAAAGAGAGAAGATTGCTGCCAAAAACTCTCTGGAGTCTTACGCCTTCAACATGAAGAACAGTGTGGAAGATGAGAACCTGAAAGGAAAGATCAGTGAGGATGACAAGAAGAACGTTATTGAGAAATGTAACGAGGCTGTCAGCTGGCTAGAGAACAACCAGCTGGCTGATAAGGAGGAGTATGAACATCAGCTGAAGGAGCTGGAGAAAGTCTGCAATCCAATCATCACTAAACTGTATCAGGGAGGGATGCCAGCTGGAGGCTGTGGAAATCAGGCACGTGGAGCATCAGGGGCCGGTGCTCAGGTGCCCACTATTGAAGAGGTGGATTAAAGTTATGGACTTGTCACTTTGTCTTTCATATCTCACGTGACAATTTGATCAAGGATTTTTTATATGATATTGCTGTTTTTATATTCCTGTTTTGTTATTTAACCACAAGCCACTTTAATTTAGTCAACATGTATATACCGTAAAGATGTAAATACAAGCATGTTTGTCATTTATGGATAATGAACATTGTTAATCATTTTTTTTTTAAATAAAAACATATCAAATGTGTTCTCATTCAGAAGGACTGGTTACAGATTCCAAGAGAAATCATGTTGATGAAAACATAAAAGTAAGGTTATAATTTTGCAGAAATAATTTTTTGAGAATTATCTAGAGGGACTAGTCAATGCAATATACAGTAGTGTAGGTGAGAAGATATTTTCACTGATAAGTGTGACAACATCACGTGACACAATCAGTCAGATGCCACAGACGTCAACATTCACTGTACAAAACCCAACAACACTCTTAAAAATAAAGGTGCTTAATAAAAGGTTCTTCACAGCGATGCCATAGAAGAACCATTTTTGGTTCCACAAAGAACCATTCAGTCAAAGGTTCTTTAAAAAAACTTTTCTTTCTTACCTTTTTATAATCTGAAGAACCTTCTTTCGCCACAAAGAACCTTTTGTGAAACAGAAAGGTTCTTCAGATGTTAAAGGTTCTTTATGGAACCATTTAGACAAAAAGGTTCTTCTATGGCATCGTGAAGCGCCTTTATTTTTAGGAGTGAAGGTTGACAACACAGATGTTCAGCTTTGTCAGACTTAAAATACTTTAAAAGATTGAAGGTCAACACATGTGACATTAACTTGCTTTTGAAAAATATTGATTTAGCTATCATCAAAACATTTTCCAAGCAGAATAGGAAAAGGGATTAGTTCTAAAGGTGTTGCCCCCGAGAGTGAGTTTCCACTCACTTATTACTTAAAAATGAATGTTTTTAATGAAGCTGATACCATGCTTTTATGGCGTCAAAAGAGCTATCACAGCATTGATGAAAAAATGATTAAAATCTATATTATTTATTTCCCCAATCAAATTGTAAATTGTCCCCATTATAATTTTGTCATTTTTAATAATTTAGTAAACATTTATTCAGTTTAATATTCAGCACAGCTGCTGACATGTACTGTGTGTCAGTTTGAAGTTCCACCTGCTGAGTGAAAAAAAAAAAAATGAGTGTGAAATCAGAATGTTTGCACCAAGCTGGCCTTGTGATAGCAGAGAAAGCTAAAACACTTGAATCAGAGACACAGCAGTTAGACGGACCACATAACTTCAACCTCAGAGCACCACTGCAGCGCTCGTCTCGTTTGTGTTGTGGACTGTTTATGTTTTATTGCATAAATGGAGCAGAAAGTTGTTCTCATTACTGGATGCTCTTCAGGGATTGGACTCAGCCTGGCTGTGCATCTCGCATCAAATCCGTCAAAAGCCTACAAAGGTAAATGATCCCACATAAAACAATGCATTTGTATTGTTCTTTTTAATTTACTCAGTTTATTTTCATGTATGTATGTCTGAAAAATACAGTTAACTTTAGTGGAAAGTCTACCTTGTATATTGTTATAATCACTGTATGAATGATTATTAATGTTAAGTCTACGCTACCATGCGGAACCTGGACAAGAAGCAGCGGCTGATGGAGAGTGTGAGAGGACTGCATAAAGACACTATGGCCATACTACAGATGGATGTGACAGACCAGCAGTCTATACTTGACACTAAGAGAAATATTACAGAGGGCAGAATTGACATACTAGGTAAGAGAAAGTAAGACATTATGACCTTTCAAAGGGAAAAGTTTGTTTAAATGCAAGGTTTAAAGCCCAAATGTACAGGCATCCTTGAAATTAACTGCTAAAATATAAAATATGTATATAAAGCCCTGTTTTCACCAAAGGGATCAATGATTTCATTAATTCCCTCCCCAACGTCTTTGTGTTAGTTTGTAATGCAGGTGTAGGTCTGATGGGTCCTCTGGAAGCCCACTCACTGGACACTATACATGCAATCCTGGACGTCAATCTGCTGGGCACTCTCCGCACCATACAGACCTTCCTACCAGACATGAAGAAAAAGAGACATGGACGAATCCTTGTGACTGGCAGCATGGGAGGACTTCAGGGTTAGTGGGGGTGAAGGGAGAGACTCAAAGACAGAGAGAAAGTGAGATTTTTCAAAAACATGCAGCAAGGAAAGCAATTCATTCCAAAAATAATTTTCTTAATCAGTATTTGTCAATCTGTGTTGTATAAAGCGCTATATAAATAAATGTGGCAATGTTCATTAGATATGAAAAGATAAGATTCAATATCTAGTGAATATTATATGTGCACTACTACATGCATGAGCAAATAGAACCATTTTGCCTATTTAATATTCCAAAATGATCTTGTCTTTTCATTTCTAAAGAACATGGAGCCACATTTATTTATATAGCGCTTTATACAACACAGACTGACAAATCAGCTTCACAGTAATAAAAAGGAAAATAAAAAATTAATCAGTTATGAAATAAATTCAATGTCAGATGTAAAGCAGCTCTACAGAAGGCAATGGTGTCATTATTTAGCTTAATTTCTGATCAGTGTTGATTCAGTTTAGTTTGATAAGTGTCAATGTTACAGAGTTAATGTCATTATCCAGCTTTAAAAAAAAAGTTCAATTTGCATATGAAATACAACTACAAAATAGGTGTAAAAAATTAAAATGTTTATAAAAACACTTATTTTCAGGTAATATCTCTTAAAGTAAGTTTATTTTTCCTCACACTATTGGCACTTTTCCCCCATTTTAAGCTTAAAGGAGACATATTATTAAGTCTCTGGTGTCCCCAGAATGTGTCTGAAGTTTCAGCTCAAAATACTCCACAGATCATTTATTATATCATTTTGAAAATGCCTATTTTGAGTGGAAGCAGAAAGCATTAGAGCTGGTACACCGCTGTCGCTTGTGAAATCAAAACGATGGTGCCCGTGGCTGTAAACTTACAGATTAAAGTCCCCATGAAATCAAAATTAAAGTTTTTTGGGTGTATCAATATGTTAGTCTTAAGGTTATATAGAAGGCAGTGTGCTCCAAAACAGTGACAAAATTTGCATTTAGAAGATATAAGCATTCAAAGCTTGCAGTTCGTCACTTC